CGCTGAGGCTGCAGCTGGAAACAGCTGCAGAAAAAGGGATGGGAGACCACAGGCCTAGGAAAGGACCCCCAAAGCGGCTGCACTCCAGGAACAGAGAAACTGAGAGGGGACCCCAAAAAGAAGCAGGAAGAAATGTGATTGGTGTGTTGTGTCTTTCTCCACCTTGGCAACATTCAGATGCATGGACTTCAACTCCCAGCATCCCCCAGCCATCAGAGGTAGAAATCCACACATCTGGCCAAGATTGAGAAATGCTGATTCAGCCCCCAACATCTGTCTGTACCCGGTATGTTTCTCTGTATAAGTAACATGAGGAAATGCATAAAATTCCCATGCATAACAACCTATTCTGATTTAACAGACTTTTGGTTTTAACAGACACCCTTTCCCCACTATTGGTCCGTGAAATCAGAAGGTTACAGTAACTCATGGGAGGCCGATTTCTGTCCTTTGCAGAATCGGGCCATGAACTTTGCCTGCTGCTCCCGTCTCTGGGATCTGAACCCTCACTGGAGGAATATTTTTCCTCCACCACCCAGCAGCTCTTTTTAGAGGAATCCAGTATAATCAAATTATATCTGCTCTCTCCCTCTCACTCCTGCACACACATACACCGGTCTTATTGCTGATGCCAGGTATCTGGGCAGCCCCCAGCCTCTGCTTGGCCTGTTACACTCCCCCCCCCAATCTAACCCAAAACTCTGACTTAAACACACGCACTCCTGCCACGTTGCCTCCCCTTTGCCCAGTTGCTGGGCAGACTTAAACCCGGGAAAGCTTTTTTGCATCTCACGCTGCAAAGAGTCGATGCCGGCGCCTTCTCTCCCCCTCCCCGATTCCCCCCCCTTCCCTTTAAGAGGATGGAGATCGTTGGGAGACAAGAAGAGAGAAATTGTGCTCGATTGCAAGACATGGAAATGACGCCGAGACACACTCAGACAGGCGTGGCTGGAAAGAGAGGATGGAGACGCAGCAGCTGTTGCTCGGAAGTTCTTCCCCCTCCGCTCTTCCCGCAGCATCTGCCGAGCCTCCCCAGAGCCCCATCTGGGGACAAGTACATTGGGGGAGAAGCCACGACACCCCCACCCCCCGGGAAGAACCTGGCTGAGTCTGGGGAGCAGTTCCATTGCTAAGCGAGGCCGTTGTTAAGCGAGCCGCCTCTCATTTTACGTCCCGTGAGATGCAACTCCCTGAACAGCCGCCTCACTTAGCGGTGGAAATGTTGGGCTCAGTCGTGGTCGTAATTTGAAGACTGCCTGTAGCACAACGTAGGAGCAATCCTGGCCGAGGCTGCCGTCCTTTTGGGAGGGTTCTGGCCTGGGGGGAGGGGTTGCGAGCGGCCAGAAATTCTGCAGCATCGTCTGATGGGGTCCCTTCTGGATGTTCTGGACGATGCAGGACCCCAAAAAGCTCTCCAGACCCCTGGACCAGCCAAACCCAATTGAAGACGGCTCTCCAAGGCAGAAAGGAGGCGTGTGAGTCACTCTGTCGCGCCAAGCCATGGTTTGATCCGGCTAGTCAAGGCTGCCTTCAAGAAGGCTGAGCGGAGGTTCTGGAACCTCCAGGGAATCGTCAGTCTAAATAGAGCTGGAAGTGCTAATTATTCCCATCAGGAGGCGCAGGGGGGGGGGCACCAGGCCTCCTGCCCCGTCTGGCACCCACTTGGCATGGTTCGCGCCCCTGGGGCTCACAACTCCTCCCTTCCTTGGGCATCTGGGCCCATCTGGGGACCACAGCTGTGGCAGCTGTGCCAGGGCCGGCTTGGAGGATTTGAGGCCTGGGGTGCCCGTCAGCCTCTCGGGCAGAGGGACAGCCTGGGCTTCTGGCCTGCCTGGCCTCCTGTGGGCCCAGGCTGCTCTGTCACTGGGCCCCCTGGAATTGGAGCCCCCCCTCCCGGTTCCTGATCGGGCGCTTTACTTTTGTAGGCAGAGGGACAGGGTCGGCACATGGGCTGGTGGGCACAAGGTTGGCAAAGGCCCACACTCGGGTTCGAATCCCCTCCCTGCCCCCAGAAGTCCCTGGAGCTGGAAGGTCCACCGGGAACCGCCCTGTGCTCAGGGGACCCCCCAGAGAGGGTCCCCAGGAAGAAGCTGCCTCCCTCCTCGCTCTTGGGGGGCCCGCTTGCTTCCTTGTCCCCATTGCTTCCTGGGGGGGGGGGGGGCTTTAAAAACGATGCCCAATGGTCGCCGTCACTCCGTCAGCCCACGCGGGAGAAAACCCCGCAAGGCTCTTGGAGCAGCCGCTGAGCCGGCTCGCCGCGATTGGACGCCTGCCCGGGAGGAGCTGTCCGGTGCTGAAGGGGGGGGGTCTTTGGAGTCCGGGCTCGGCCCCTCCCGGGGAGGCCGCTTGGGCGGGGCTCCTCCCGCAAGCGGCTCTTCCCGCAAGCGGCGGGGCCGGGAAGGCGGTGCGCGGCTCCGGCTTTAATCCGGCGCGTAGTGAATGCGGCTCTCGGCTGGGGGATCCCCGCTTGAAGCCTTGCGCTTTTCCACTCGCTTTACGCCAAGAGCGTAGCGGGGCTAAGCCGCTCAGCGTCTCTCTGGATTGCAGCAGCTGGGAAAACGTCCGTCTCGGGGGGGGGGGGGGGGGCTCGATTCGGCTCCCTAATTCTCAGCCAGGGGCCCGCGGGTGGAGGTGCAGCCCAGTCCGGGTTACCTGCGGTTTGCAGAGTGCAAAGTTTTACATCTTGGTTGACTAATTCTGCAGTTTAGCCAACCCTTCAGATCTTCCTGGGTTCGGGCAATTCCTCCAGCTTCAAGGAAAGGAGGCATCCGCAGCGGGGCCAAAAAGGTCCAGAGGGATGCAGTCCGGGGTCCCTGCTCTTGTCCTGAGTTCGGATTGAGCAGGTGCGGTTATGCCTGCCATCCTCTTTCGCTTCCTAGTTGGGCCATGAAACATCTGCGAGGAAACCACCCAGCTCAGAGATCATCCCAGACCCCACCCTCCTTTTGGGGTGATATGCTGATGAGCCCCTGCCCAAATGGTGCCAGCCCTAGGAGTGTTGGGAGGTTTTTAGCAATAAGGGGGGAGGGGGGAATTGCCTGGTCCGGGGCTCAGTCGATCTCCTGGGAAGGGGGACCCCGGGGGGGGGGGGGGCACATGGCCACAGGCGTGAAAACACCAAGCTAGGGCCAGCAACTGCACGGCAGTCATTTCCCCTGGTGTGCGGTTCCCCTGGCGACAGAGTTTCATTTGCATAGTTTGGGCTGTTAAAAAAAGTCCCCCTCTTTGCAACCTTTCAACATAATAATTGAAAAGCTATTTATTCTCAGTAGCCCTCTCTTCAAGATTTTATGCCGCCCCTTAGTGAAAACCACATTTTTAACTTCAAAGTTTGGTTTGATTTAAGCATAATTTGTCTTTTATTAGTTATTAAGCTGTTAATATATTAGGAAGACGATCAGCTGTCTCGAGGAGGCTTTTGCTTACTCTAAGCGTGGCTAAATAAGCATAATCCTTACCCTCCTCCTCACTTTCTTCCTCCCTTCCGCCGTGAGCTTTTCATAGCCCTGGGATCTATTCTTCTAAATTCCTTCATGAGCCATACCTGGAGGATGTCAAGAAAAAAAAAAAATCAGCTCAGCAGAACGGAGAAGAATCAAATTCTTGTCAAAGCTCAATAAAAAATCCTGCTGTGTAAAAATCTTGGGGAAATACCTGGTATTTAGTGCTTCACTGCTGCAAAGGAAATTATTTTTGAAAATATCACTTGATTGGGTCCGATTCTTCTTCTCTTTAAGGCTATGGGTTGATTTCTTGGTGACAATCAACAGAAGGACATAAAGTTCCCTTAAAATGAATTCCAGATATGGATCTCAATCAGGCGGCTTTTGACACTGCCGTGCATGTCCTCTCTGTAACTGTCGGTCGGTTGTCGGTTTGACGACTGCTACCTAGTTGTCAGTCAGGGGTGGGTGGCGCCCGTGTTGAGGTGGCGCCAGGGGCCACTGCATGACCTCGGGGACCTGGCCTCCAGATGAATGGTGCTTTCCATCCCATAATCCCCAGCCGCCTGGCTTAGTGCTTCGCTTGGGGTCAGAGACCCACACGGGTGTGCAAGAAAGCTAACGGCCACCTGCCACTCTTGCTCTCCAGCAACAAACAAACTCCAGGAAGTCCTCAGCTTATGACCACAATTGAGCGCAAAATGTCTGTTGCTAAGGGAGACAGCGGTTGAGTGAAGTTTTGCCCCATTTTGTGACTTTTCTTGTCACTGTTATTAAGTGAACTGCTGCAGTTGTCAAGTTAGTAAGATGGTTGTTAAGTGAACCTGGCTTTCCCATTGACTTTGCTCGTCAGAAGGTCAGAGAAGGGGATCACGTGACCCCAAGGGGACACTGTGACCGTCGTAAGTACGTGCCAATTGCCAAGCAGCTGCATTTGGATCACGTGACCACGGGGATGCTGCAACGGTTGTAATCATGAGAAACCGTCATAAATCACTTGTTTCCAGTGCCGTTGTAACTTCAAATAGTCACTAAATAAATAATTGTAAGCAGAGGACTACCTGTACTCAGAGAGATGCTGCCTTTTTCATACAACGGCAGGTAGAGGTCCTGCAGGTAGACCAGTGTGCCTGTGTCAGGCGTGAAAGACCAGGTCCGCAAGGGAAGGTTCAGTTCAGCTACTCTATTGCTAAAGGGCTTTGCGCAGGAATCTTCTCCGTTCAGGGTCAGCCTCTGCTTAGAATTCGATGAGTCCACTTGTGGCTACGTGGGGGTTCTAGGCCGATCCCTCTTTTGTCTCCGCCCCACCCCCAGGTCCTTCCACACCTTCTCCTACAGTCTAATCCCCCTTTGAAAGCCTCCCGGCGCTCTGGCGCTCCTACGGGGAGCACCAAATTCCCTACCCTTAGGGCTAAGGAGGGCTGGCTCTCATTTGATCCCAGATCCTTTGAAGTCGGGGCAGCCGTGGCCAGCTCTGAGACCGGCGTCCTGGGGAGAGGTGCAGTCGAACCGCCTTTCTAATCTTTTGCTGCTTCGTTTTGTCTGCCCAGGGCCTCCCCAGGTACGGAGCGTGCCAGTATCATGGAAAAGCTTTTCTTGCCTCTTTTGATGCTTGGCACCATGGCGAAAGCTCAGCACTGCCCCGGCCGCTGCATCTGCCAGAACATCTCCCCGACGTTGACCATGCTGTGCGCCAAGACGGGCCTCCTCTTCGTGCCGGCCACCATCGACCGGCGCACGGTGGAGCTGCGCCTGACGGACAACTTCATCACCGTCATCCGCCGGAAGGACTTCTCCAACATGACCAACCTGGTGCACCTCACCCTCTCGCGCAACACCATCAGCCAGATCCTGCCCTTTGCCTTTGCCGACCTGCGTGCCTTACGGGCCCTGCACATGAACAGCAACCGGCTGGCCCTCCTGAAGGAGGAGCACTTCCGGGGACTGACCAACCTCCGGCACCTCATCCTGGGGAACAACCAGATCAGCCACATCGAGGCCTCCTGCTTCGACGAGTTCCTCTCCACCGTGGAAGACCTGGACCTCTCCTACAACAACCTGGAGACCCTGCCATGGGAGGCCATCGGCCAGATGGTCAGCCTCAACACCCTCACCCTGGACCACAACCTCATCGACCACATCGCGGAGGGCACCTTCTCCCAGCTCCAGAAGCTGGTCAGGCTGGACATGACCTCCAACCGGCTGCAGAAGCTGCCTCCGGACAACCTCTTCTTGAGGGCTGAAGTGCTGGCCAACGTCCGCGGGACTCACCCATCCACCTTGACCATCAGCTTTGGGGGCAACCCGCTGCACTGCAACTGCGAGCTGCTGTGGCTGCGGAGGCTCACGCGGGAGGACGACCTGGAGACCTGCGCCTCCCCGGAGCACCTGATGGATAAATACTTTTGGTCGATCCCCGAGGAGGAGTTCATCTGCGAGCCGCCCCTCATCACCCGCCAGTATTCCAGCAAGGCCTTCATCATGGAGGGCCAGGGGGTCAGCCTGAAGTGCAAGGCTGTAGGGGACCCGGAACCTTCCATCCACTGGATCGCGCCCGACGGCAAACTCATCCACAACACCACCCGGGCCACCGTCTACGAGAACGGCACACTGGACATCTTCATCACCACCTTGAAGGACAACGGAATCTTCACCTGCATCGCCTCCAACGCGGCCGGGGAAGCCACGGCCCCCGTGGACGTCTGCATCGTCCCTCTGCCCCTGCTGGTCAACAACACCGGCCACATGAAGGAGCCGGACCCGGGCTCCTCCGACATCACCACCTCCGCCAAATCGGGCTCCAATGAAACCAAGAACCACCAGGACAGGAAGATCGTAGCGGCGGAACTGACCTCTACTTCCGTGGTCATCCACTGGCCGTCCGAACGGCACATCCCGGGTATCCGGATGTACCAGATCCAGTACAACAGCTCCTTGGATGACTCGCTGGTCTACAGGTGAGTAGGATGGACCTTGACTTACAAACCCAAAATGTCCATTTGCTAAGCAGGTTGTTAAGTGAGTTTTGCCACAGTTGTTAAGGGAATCCCTGCAATTGTTCCGTTGGTCCCACGGTTGTTAAGTGAATCTGGCTTCCCCGTTGACTTGGGTTGTCAGAAGGTCGCAAAAGGGGATCACGTGACCCCCCAAGGGGACGCTGCGACCGTCATAAATACGAGTCAGTTGCCAAGCGTCTGGCTGTGGGGATGCGGCAGTGGCCATAGGTGTGAAACACAGTCACAAGTCCTTTTTTTCAGTGCCGTTGTAACTTAGGCGCTGGGCACCAGGCCCTACGGCTTCCTGTCTCACCCCTCCCCCACTGGACGGGGGGGGGTGTTGAGCAAGGGTGGGAGGAGGCCCAGCTTTGCACATCTTCCAGGTAAACCTCAGCCCTGCCAGGCGAAGAGGCGGGGGAGGGGGACGGTTTCTGTTTGTGGTCTCAGGTGGGAGATGAAGAGAAAGAGGCACGGAAGGGAAGGGGGGGAAGAGGGGCGGCGGCTGCACACGTGTGGAAGGAAGGAGGGGGAATTCCTGCCAGAGCCTGCAGGGGAGAAGAGGGGGGAGGAGGCTGGCAGGGAGAGAGCGGCAGCTCCCAGATTCAGGGGGTCCTTCGTGAGGGTCCCTCTCTCAGCCCCAGATGTGGGGAGAGAATTCCAGCTGCCAATGGCTTTGGGGAGGGGGCTGGGCAAAGCCGCTGTGTTGGGACCAGCCCAGCAGTGTTGCAACCCCTCAGAGGAGGCATTCTCCCTCCCTCCCTCCCTCCTCTCTTTCCTTCCCTTCCCCTCCCCCTCTTTCCTTCCCTCCCTCCCCCTCTCTCTTTCTCTGCCCCCCTCCCTCTTTCCTTTCCACCCCCTCCCTCCCTCGCTCTCCCTTTCTCCTTTCTGCCCTTGAAAAGTCCCCCCCTCTTTCGCGCTTCCTGCCAGCTGCAACAGAGACACAGCCGGCCTCTGCACTCCAGTGTCTCAAATGGGGGGGGGGCTTGCCCACCCTGAGAGCAATGGCTTATGTGGAAGCGAAGACCCTTGAGGAGCCCTGGGTTCAAGGCCACTCAGTCGGAAAAGGAAGGGCCACGACCTCGGGACCCCCATGAGGGGGGAGCCTGGGGGGCCAGAAGAGACGCTGGATGAGTCCGGAAGAGAACAATTGGCCGTAGCTGCATTGCCCCATCCGCCCTCTGCCCTCCTCATGCGCACCGCCATGCACCGCTCCGGGGCAGGAAGTGGGTGCCGGGTGAGGTGGGGCCTGGGTGGGCCTCGCCTTCCTCCCAGTCACAGTAGCTGCTCATCCTGGAGGCCCCCAGGGCAGCTGCCACGCTCGCAAGATCAAATCAATCGGTCTTTCCTCCGCGTTGACCCTGCCCCACGCGGTTTGCCCCCCAGCCGAGCTGTGCTGTGTTCCCTCTCCATCCCCCCCAAGCCCACCCCCAAGATTGCCTCCTGCTGCCCCCTCCCCCATTTGCTGATTGACTGCTCTGCTGAAGTGCCGTCCTCGCCCACCACAGGGGGCACCACGACCCCCACCCCACCCAGCTCTGCTTCTGGGCCCCAGATCTTCTCCTGGCATCTGTTGGGGGGCTGGGCATCTCTGCCAGGAGGGGCTCTGAGGCAGAAGGGGAGAAGGGATCTCGGGGGGGGGGATTCCTGCAAGGGTCTCCCTAGGAGGCAGGTGGGAGGGGCTGCATCTGCCGCTGACTGGAGGAGGCCAGAAAGGGGCCTGGACTTCGGCTCTTCTCCTGTCCGTTCCTTCTTCTGCCCCAGAGCACAACTGCGTTGGTGGAGGAGGAGGCAGGTATCCCCTGTCTGTCTGTCTGTCTGTCTCTGGCCGTCCACCAATCCATCCACCCATCTACCTAACTAATCTATCATCTGTCTGTCTTATCTATCTATCTGTCTAACTCTCATCCATTCATCCACCTATCCAACCTATCATCCATCTATCATTATCAAATCTATCAAATTTAGACACTGCCCACCTCACTATCCAAGTGGGCAATTTACAAATACAAACGATAGTAACTCTACAACAAGAAACAGGATTAAAATCAGAATTAAAACTGTGCAAAATAAAAAAAAGACCAAAGCTAATAGGGAAGTCAAGAAGATTTTTTTAAAAAAACAGAAGGAGCACCCACAAATCCCCCCCCCCGAGTTATGTGCCACTCTCCGACCCCCCAGGCTAGTTGAGGGCACAGCCTGGTCTCTGCTGCCTTCCGGAGACCCAAGAGGGGAGGACAATGGGAAAAGCAAGCGACGCTGGGTTGCAAGTTTCTAGACCTTGGGAGGAGCCATCGGCTCTCTGGTCCGGAAGGACGTCAGGTGACCTTCCAAGGACCGGAAGCTCCTGAGACCCTCCCCATTTCCCTTGTCAAAATCCAGGGGTCCCCCACAGGGCCTGGGAAGCGGGGATCTGTTCTCACAGGCACATCGCCAGAAACCAGGTGTTGATTAAGACTGGCCGGAGAGCCCGAGGGATGGATGGCACGGAGGGAGACCCCAGACGTCTGGCCTCCTTCCCTGGCGGTTTAGGAGGCTTAGGATGCCTGGGTCAGGATTCCAGCAATCGCTCTAATTAAATCATGGATTAAGTCATAAATCAGCCAAACGTCCATCAACTTCATTAGAGGCGACATCCTGGCCCTGCCCTGCATGAAGCCAACTCTGGCCCACGTCATTTACAGGCCCCTGTGACCCCGTTTCCCCCCCTCCCCCCTGGGTGTGTCATAAATCGGATTCTCCAATTGAGCACCTTCACGGGCTGGGTGTCATCAATCACGTTCTCCCATGAAATACATTCATGGGCAAAAGCTCTGGTAGTTGAGTTACAATCTTTTAAAGATAAAGAGTTGGAACGTACTTCCACTTGCAAACTGCCCTTCCAGATTCCCTTCTCCCCGCCCATTTTTTTTATTTTTATGGCAACACAGACACAGGAATGTTGGATGGGTTGACATGTCCTCCCGGGGGTCTCACTCCCCTTCTCTGCCCCCCACAGGATGATTCCTTCATCCAGCAAGACCTTCCTGGTGAACGACTTGGCCGCCGGCCGGGAATACGACCTGTGCGTCTTGGCAGTGTACGACGATGGCGTGACCTCCCTGACGGCGACTCGGGTCGTGGGCTGCGTGCAATTCACCACCGAGGGGGAGAGCGCCCAGTGCCACTCGCTCCACACCCAGTTCCTGGGGGGCACCATGATCATCATCCTGGGGGGCATCATCGTGGCCTCGGTGCTGGTCTTCATCATCATCCTCATGATCCGCTACAAGGTCTACAGCGGGCAGGAGGAGCAGAAGAAGGCGGCCAGGGTCAGCAACGTCTACTCGCAGACCAACGGCAGCCACCCGCAGCCCAGCACCAGCACGTTGCCCCCCTCGGCCTCCAAAATCGGGGAGGACAAATACGAGACCCTCCAGGAGGTTGCTTCCCAGGACCCCCGGCTGGGCGGGGGCAGCAGGGGCGACGCCCCCCACGGGCCAGACGTCCCCTCGACCGAGCTGGAGAAGAGGGCGGCAGCGCAGAGGAGCCCCGATCTCCAAACCGTGGCGGTCCTGACTTCGGAAGAAGGACAGCGGGAGGTCAGGAGGGCCGGCTCCTCGGTCTCCCTGTGCCTCCTCAGAGACCCCGGGGGGACCCCCCAGCTCCGGGCCAAACCGGGCAGCAGCGAGTCGGGGTCTTTCCCCCGCGAGCTGTCCAGGACTCGGCACCACCGCCATTCCTTCGACGGGGATTACGCGCTCTTCCAGAGTCACAGCTACCCCCGCCGCACACGGACAAAGCGCCACATGTCCACCTCTCAGTTGAACTCGGAGGAGTCTCCCTTGAGTCACAGGCGGGTTACTTTCGGCAGCACGGAGTGGATGCTGGAGAGCACAGTCTGAGGGGGTGGCGGGGGTGGGGGGAGCGGGGGGCACAGGGGCTGCCAGACGCACAAGTTTGGGGTGCAGCAACCCAGGAAGGAGAGAAGGGGGGAGAGGAAAGGCCAGGCGAATGGGTCTCTTTCCCGGGCAACCGCAGCGGGGGGCCTTAGCCGAGCCCCTCCCCAGCAGAAGAGCAGGCAAGGAGGGGAGTGAGCAAGAGGAGGGGGTGGGGGGGTTGCAGCGCCCAGAGGGAAGGGCTGGGGGGGGGTGGAGCCAAGGAGAGGCGCATATGCACAGAGGGGGAGAAACAAAGGTTTATGCATTCATCCCTGTTCCAATGAAAAAGGCCACGATAAGCCTAGATCCGGAGGGAAAAGAGCACAAAGCAGAGGTGGGTTAGGGTTAGGGTGGCGGGAGGGGGAGGAGGAGGGGGGGGTCCCCCCAACGCCCTGCCCAGGATCTGGTGGTGAAACCCACTCGGTCGGTCGCTCTATTTATTGTATCTGGCTGGTCTAGATCAAAAAAAAAAAGATATGTGTTTGATGTGTTCATTATCAGAAAAGTCATTTGAACTCTTGGACCCCGCCCCCCCCCTTCCTGTCCTGGTTTCCTCTTGTGGACCCCTCCCCTTCCCCCCAAACTCTGCTCCCCCAGAACTCTACAGGGGTCCCTTCATTGGCCTCCCTGCCCCGAAATACGGATAATCCTGGATCCCCGGCCCTCTCCATCCGCCCCCTCAAAGAGAGCTTCTCCCCCCTCTGATGCTTCCTGAACCCCCAAAGTATTTCCCAGCACAAGAACCCCCCCTTCTCTTTGGCGCCCCTCCCCAATTCGCCCCACCCCCCCCCCGCCTCCCCATGAGGTTTCTCAAGGGCCAAATCTTCAACCATTGAACGTTAGTTTTTCATTAACAACTTATACCGGCGACCCCGTCCCGTTCCTGTCCCCCCCCCTTGTCTGCCCCTCCCAGTTTTTCCCAGCACCCCCCAGTTCCCCCTCCCTCCATCACAGAGTGAGGCTGCTTTTTGGAGGTGATTAAATCTTTTGTGTGTGACCTGCAGCCCGTCTCATTATGCTTCTTGGGGGGGGGGTCCAGGGAGGGAATGTGAGATGGGGGGGCCTGGACTGGCTTGGAGGTGGGGGAGGGGCGACCAGAAGGGGAAGCGCCAACGTGGCTGTAGAAAAAAAAACTGAAAAATGTTTTCATTTGAATGCAGCAAAAGAATAAGGTGTGTTTTTGAATAGTCTTGAATAGTGTTTTTGAACCCATATTTCTCCACCTTGGCTACTCTATGATGGTGGACTTCCCAGAATTCCCCATGGATGGATGGATGGATGGGGAATTCTAGGAGTTGAAGTCTATCCATCTCAGTTGCCCAGGTTGAGAAAGACTGACATATCCCATTCCCCCCCCCCTCTCTTTATATATATATATATATGTGTATATATATATATATATATATAATGTGTGTATGTATGTATGTATGTATGTATGTATATGTATATATGTATATATGTATATATATGTATGTATATAAGTGTGTGTATGCATGTATGTATGCATGTATGTATGTATGTATGTATGTACGATGTATGTATGTATGTATGTATATATATGCACATGTATATATATATGTGTGTGTGTGTGTGTGTGTGTGTGTGTATAATCTCTATATTATCTATTTCTATCCATCCATCATCTCTTTATCATCTATATATTTATCATCCAGCCATCCATCTATCCAGCCATCTATTGGGTTTCCCATCCTTGGCTGCTCTACGGTGGGGGGGGCTTCAACTCCCAGCTGTGCTGGTTGGGGAATTATGGGAGTTGAAGTCCCCCCACCGTAGAGCAGCCAAGGATGGGAAACTCTGCTCTAAGAAGCCCTCGAAATAACGAAGGGAGCTCGCTGGTTGTGGATGCGCAGAGGACACCCTCATTTGCACGTATGCCATCCGTCGGAGGGATATTTGTGCAGGCTATCCATCCATGTCCAGGCCGTCATG